GAGAGAGAGAGAGATGAATTGTTTGAGGAGAGAGAGAGAGAGGAGAGAGAGAGGAGAGAGAGAGAGAGAGAGAGAGAGAGGAGAAGAGAGAGAGAGAGAGAGAGAGAGAGAGAGAGAGAGAGAGAGAGAGAGAGAGAGAGAGAGAGAGAGAGAGAAAAGAAAGAAAGGGAGACAAGAGAGAGAGAAAAGAAAGTAAGGGAGACAGAGAGAGAAAAAAATAAGGAAAGAGAGAAAAAGAAGGAAAGAAAGAAAGGAGGTAGATTTCAATTATATACTTACGTAGCTCTTGCTGTGCATTCACAGTCAATTCATGTGGAATAGGTGTTAGAACATTTGCAACTGGTTGCTTAGTTGGTTGCTCTTGAGGACTCATGAACAGTGAGGCATGAGGAACTTGTTGACTTCCTGATTCTTCCTCGGTCTCTCTACGGGGCATTTTAGGTGTAGACTCATGACTTGCAGTGCTCTGAGTGGTTCCAGCTATTGCACCTCCCCCTCCCCCTCCACCACTGCCACCACCACCAGCTGCTGCTGCTGCTGCTGCTGCTGCTACTCCGCCTCCTCCTCCCCCTCCTCCTCCACTGCTTGGCTCATGGTCTTGACTCATGCGTTTCAAGAGATTTACTCTTCTTTCATCTAAACCCATACTCTGTAAACAAATATAATAATTCTTTATAAAACATTTAATTTTCAAAATGAGACTAAAATAAACATCTTGCATCTACAAATAGTTAATCAATAGTATGAGCCCCGTGTCTAAAAGACAGATTGCTTGAAGGTAGGTGATGGTAGGTTCCCTTTAGTTCCTGAATCTGATATCTGTAAATTCAGTGACTAGTTTATACAAACAATTTGTTTCAGTAACACTGATTAACCAAATAGAGACAGGTGAATATAATTTTTGGTAAAGTGGGATGACTATGATCATTCAACTAGTGGGCTCTCTATACCTAAGCAATCAGTTTTCCAATGTTAGACCACATCCTTGCAATTAAGACTCATGACTGTGATAGAGGTGTTACCCTGTCATGATTCGCGGAGCTCACGGCTCACACCAATGTATTAGTCTTCCCATTAATAGACTTTAAAGGAAGAAAACGTCAAAAGGGGGGCAATACAAGCCTTCCCTCAAGATTACCAAGGCTGCTGCATTTGTGGGAAGAGAAGTTTGAATATATCCCCTGAAAACCTCTGTGTGTGTGTGTGTGTGTGTGTGTGTGTGTGTGTGTGTGTGTGTGTGTGTGTGTGTGTGTGTGGTGTGTGTGTGTGTGTGTGTGTGTGGTGTGTGTGTGTGTGTGTGTGTGTTGTGTGTGTGTGTGTGTGTGTGTGTGTGTGTGTGTGTGTGTGTGTGTGTGTGTGTGTGTGTGTGTGTGTGTTTGTGTGTGCTTTTCTGCGCGTGTCTGCAGAAACACACCAAAATGCAGTATGAGAAGCTCAATTACAGGTAGGTTATCTACCAAGAACTCACCACATCCGACCTTCTGACATGATGCCTAAAGG